CATGGAATTTCTATCACATGTCCTGTGCAGCACCAGTCTCTGTCCAAGTAATGCACCCTGTTCCAAAGCTCTAATAGGATATCTCCATTTATTATCTCCTAGAACTGGAAGGGACCCCGAAGGGTCATCGAGTCCAGTCCCTGCCTTTACTAGCAGGACCTAGTACTGATTTTGCCCCAGATCCCTAAGTGGCCCCCTCACAGATTGAACTCACAACCCTGGGTTTAGCAGGCCAATGCTCAAACCACTGAGCTATCTCTTCCCCCTAGTTTTGGAATAGATTACTAGTATCCTAATCACTCTTCAGGCAATAGGGAGCTCCTACCCAACTCTTTCACTTCCTGACTTCAGTGTGGAAGACCAAAGAAATAGATACTGCTGAAGTGTGCTTCAGATTCTAAGGCTGTCTCCACTGAAGATGTGCTTTCTGCTGTGAAAACAATTCAAATCAAGGCTAGAGATAACTGGGACTCAGTTTCTCTAATCAAGCTTCCTGGAAAAAATGCACTTAGTAGAAGGTAGGGGCAGATGGACTGAATTAATAACCATTGTATGTGTTATGACTATATGAAAAGTGTACAGCTGATTCATTCATAAATGCAATCTGCAATAGTGTAGATAAGACAGCCTTATTGAAATGTAGGCAAACATTATGCTTTTTTAGCCTTTCCCATTTGAGAAAGCAGTTAATAAGATGGCAACACTTGTCACATGATCATTGCCAGTTAGTATTAGCCCTACACTGTGAAATTGAAACTAGGTAGGAGGTGGTATCTGAGGAACAAATACACCTGTGCCCAACTCTAATCAAACACATGTCCTGTTTTTTAACATTGGTTAATCGTGCTCTCTCCACAAGTGCAGAGAGCTTTCTATGTGTAATTCATGTAGAGAAATACTAGCACTTGTTGCTCATGCTGAGTACTAACTCTGAGAAGTCTTGGAACACTAACAGATCACAATCCAATTACTTGTAGCATATAAGAATCTTGATGCTAATGCCTGACTGAGCCATTTTACATCACATTCAGGCAAACTTGGTTGTAATTGGCTAAAGTGCATTAGTCATGAGTAATTGACCTTCTTGACAGCCCTTGCACAAATACGTAGCATCTAAAATGGTGTAAACCAAGGGCTGAGCACTTAGTCTATTGAACTCCTACTCCCCTCACATTTTTAGGGTAGAAATGCTTTCTACAGCAGTTCACCTCATAGAAGTTGAAATGCTGGTTATAGCGTGCCGTGCCCTATCAGTATGAGTCTCTGGGGCAGGTATGTCTAGAAAACTACTGTCCTTATCTCTCAAACCTGTGCCCATTTCCTGCCTTTCATTGCTTCTGCTTGCTCTTGGTTTTGTCAGCCTGTAAAGAAGCAATTAAATAATAGCCCTAAAACATGTGGGTGCAGTGCTTAAACAAGCAACACTTCTGAAACAGACAAGGTACTGGGGGTGGTATCTGAAAAGGGTTGAGCTCTATGCTGGCAAAACTTGACTTCTTTGTCTTCACGGGATACAGGAAGATGAGGTAGTTCAAACTTCCTGCTAGTGCATGTAGCTGTACTGATATTGCCACTACAAGAATGGGATTTTAGTCTGTGCTGTTTTTTTACTTGCTCTCGAGAGCATAAGCATTCTCGAATGTGTGTAACAGCTGTTATGGACTGGCTTAAAGTAGCTAAAATCTAAATCCACTGTGACCACCTCAAGTCCTGCAGATAGTGCTAAGGCAAGATGGCAAGGTACAGCTAATGGGAGGTGATGTGTCGTGCTTAATTTGTAATGAAAGAGGTGCTGGAGCTCAAGCAATTTTTTTTTTTTTTTTTTTTTTTTTACTTTCATAATTGACTTGGCAATCACAGAGGTGCCGGGGCTATGAACTGCCAAGCCTAGAGGTGCTGGGGCTCAAAATAAGCACTGGTGATGTGGTCAGAGTGGGGAAACTAGTTTCAGCCAGAGGTCAGGCTAAATCAATCTTGCCATTTAAAGGCATACTGCAAGACTCTTTGGCAGGTCATTTCATAACAGGGTCTCTTGCTTCACATGGGAGTCTTCCTCATAGCTATATAATGGAGGAGGCTGGGAAGCTGTGATCACATTGAGGAAATCTTGGTTTCTGGTGCTCTTGCATGTGTCGAGCAGTTCCTTGTTGGCTGTAAGGAAACCAGTCATCCTCTTCTCAGATGTGCCTGTTATGACAGTGTTTTACTGAAGACTTGTCATGGTATTGGAGCCTTCATCTCTTGATACATCTCAATGTACTTCTTTGGCACCTAGACTAAATCAAGGGAAATGTAATAAGCAAAAGCTAGCTTAATGTTTCAAGGCCATCCTTCAGTCTTTCTTCCACCTTTGCTAGCTCAACAGAGATGTGCATTGTCGGAACACTTAAAATGTACAGTAGACCCCAGCAGCACTGACAAGTTGTGGTCTTGTCTTGCATTGTAGATGGAAACAAACAATGTTATCTGAATGCATCATGGCTTGTGACCAAGCTCTGTTCCTGTCCTATCTTAAAGACCAAACTGTTGGGACAGCTGTTCTGAAACTTGAGACCCTAACAGGGTCTCCGTCTCACCTAACCCAGTTTGTGCAATTAGTATGATTGACTGAGGCTCAACCAAGATAAGTCAGTCAACGCTTGTCACATCCAGGGGCTGGATGGTAGGAAAAAAAATGGAAGTTATTTAATGACACTCAGGCTTGAAAGGGCATCTGCCACTTATTAAATCTAGCAATGTTAAAATTCTTAGCTGTTCCTGGATACCTGGGTAGATGCTGTAGCCAAAACTTTCTACCTGGCTGAAAAGTAACTTCTGTGGCAGGATCCTCAGCCATTTTTCCAATGCAGAGATTAGGTCACCATGCCCTACCATAGGGCACAGACTGGAAGGTACAGAAACTTATGCAGTGCTCACTTCAAGAGAATTTCCTGCAGAGATCTTATTACTCTTATTATTCCCATGCTCAATCTGCAGTGGTTTCCAACTGACATCAAATGTTTTTAAGGTGGTCTGCAATCAGCAGAGGTGATTGAGCTAACAGGCCTGGACTCATTATATTATGGTGCCTTTCTACAAAGGGCCCTGATCAGGATTCAGTACCCAAACTTGAGTGAGGTAAGTTGCAAGGATCTTTTTCTTGAAGGAGCAGGAAGAAGGGAAAATGGGATGACTTGGCAAAATAAATCAGTTTCTAGGGAACTGCTCCTTTGATCTCCTCCATGGTCTGTTCTAAGAATGTCCAATCAGTCTTAGGCCCCTAGCCTTCTACGGAACCACATCTCCTCTCTTCAGACTGGGAGTTTTAGGCTGTAGTCCCCTGTAGTTCCCTAATCACCCAAGCAAGCCATCTGCCTAAAGGCCAGCACCTGCACTTTGCTTTCTCAGGAGATAATGACAAATTAGCTACCAGTAACCACCCAGCTTTCTCTGACTACATTAAATCAAAAATATTTTTTTCAGAAATAAATAGAACAGAAACAGGTAAAATGTACCAGAAGAATCCCAGGGCCCATAGACAGAAGGGCAGGTTAAAGTTCTTCCAACCCTTCAGCAAGGATTTTTGGGGAGAGGGATGTGGACCAAAGGTCACATCCATTTGCTGGATCTGAAAGAAGACTCAGTCTGTTTAAATTCAGCCTCTTATTCCAAAAGCCCTTTCTTTGTTTTTCTTAGGCCTTTAGTACCTATGTGTATGTGTATATATCAATCACTCCAGGAATGGCACTTCTCTGAAGCTGTTCATTGCATTCATATTGTAATCACCCCTGACAGTCATCTTTAAGTTCCTGGAGGAATTGTGGTAACCTTCCTTCTTTTCTCCGCCCGCCCCACTCACAATGGAGTTGAATACAGTTCCTAGCCCACAACGATAGAAAATTGGAGCAAGTTAATATTGTGTAAGTTCCAATGAACATCTGTATTCATGCCAATTTTGCCTCTGATAAGTATAAATGTTTCAAATTCCTAGTCTCTCTACTGCATAAAATTGTGTAGCTGTTTCCAACAACCTGCCTCCTCTTGAAAGCATGTAGTGAAGCAACTGAGGGTAGTAGAGCAATATATTGCACTAAAGTTGCATAGCCCCAATATGAAATTAATCCAGAAAACTTCCACTAACTTTTTTTTTGGAATATACTGACTAGCACTCAATAGGCTTTAGCCAAAGCACCAAGTGCACGGGTTACAAAGATAGATGAATTACATTTCCTCTGTAGCTTGTGAAACTTATAAACTTTTTGTATGGTCTGTTAATCAGTTTGTCCATTGCTGACCCCAGCAATGGGTCTCATCTGAAAGTATCTTGAATATATTGGTAACTCTCTTCTCAGGTGACAAATACTACTTTAAGTATGTTAGACTGCTGAGATGGGTGCTGCATTGTAATCTTGCTAGATAAACAAACACAGATTGACTTTTTTTTATTTTTGCTAGCAACACAAATTACAAACAGTTGTTGCACAGACAACAGGAAGCCATGCACAATTTCTTATTTCTGTGATTTACAGTCCTACACAGATGGCATATAGAATAGATTATGGCTAGTAATCCTTTTGTGTCCTAGAAGATTAAGGATATCCTGGTACAGCTGCAGTCAGCTGACTTTTTTATTTAAATGATTGAAAATTCTGGCTGCAATTCTGCAGAAGACTAAGACGTCCCAGAAGCCTGTGCATAGTGTGCTGCAAGTGTTTGTTTACCAAGGGAATGGTCTGTAAAACCCAGCCCAGGTTATAGATTTACAGAAACTTAACCTTGTGCTATGCCACAACTACAACATGGCTCAGAAGTAATTTAATAAATGTGTACTGCACTTGAGTCATATGAATGTCTAAAGTCGTCCAAAGGAAATAAAGTGCAGTGTGGGAAAGTACAACATCTAAATCCTATGGTTGGGATTACTAAGTGAATGAGGCTGCACAACGCTGACAATCAGGATGAATGCTTCAGTGGATGTTGATCTATATTAAGGAGTGAACATGCATTCTGAACTTTCTGGGATGGATTGGAGGGATACAGATCTAAATGAGGATTATAAATCTCCTTTTGATTTCAATAGTGGAGTTAACAAAAACTATCTCTACCTGTCACCTAGTGTAAACATCTCTCCACCTGGATCACCTGTACAGAAGAATTCTGGTAACTTTTTTTCCTTAATATTTTTTTGTGGGGGAGAACAGTGAGTATACTAGTTTACTTTAATCCATGTACAAATGATTACATCCGCAGCAAGAGCAATCAAATTCTGGAAGTCTAGGGGCTGGTGTTGTGGGGGCCGAATTCCTATTCTGGCAACATCATTGACCGAAAGGGTTACAGGAATAAATGAGGACAATTTGGTCCTCTGCTCCCAACTTGGGAGGCTTACTGGATACAAAAAAATTCTGCCTTATGGAATGACCTGCAGTACATATGCTTCATAGAATGACTAACATTGATTTCCTGCTGTAAACACGCTGTCTGGGGTCTGAAGTAGACTGAGCAAAAATAAGTGATCTGAAAACTGACTAAGAAAGCAAATTTTTGCAGGATGGGGATACTTAACATAGCTTAACAATTGTTTTAGTTGCATGTGAATCTTGCATCAAAAAAATCTAAGATGTACTTCAGCTTAAAATAGCCAGTGCCCCAAATTGGTGGAAATTGGACATTAATTCTTGTTGGTTCTGTGTCTTAGTATTTCCCAATCTAACAAAGGCCCATAAAGTCTTTAAATTACAATTACATAGCTTTTCCTCCCCCCTTTCTTTCCCCCCATTGCTGCAAACTAACTTTCTTGTGCACACAAACAGCAGAGTCTGGTTGGGATGAATACTGCTTTTAGTGCCGCATGTGCCAAAGAAGCCACCTTGGTGCCCTTGGTCTAAAATTAAACATTTATAATTACATATGAACTGGCACTTTGAATTTGTCTTGAACACTTGTGAAAATACTCTCCAGTTGAAGAACTGGGAACCTCTGGCACCCTCCTATGCTCATTTGTTTGCTTCTATTCCTGCCCCACACACCCCTCCTTATGCTAGTGAACACATTGCTCTCGTTCTGGTCAGATCTGAATGCAGTATGAACAAGAAGTTGCTTGTGAACTGATAAATGGTAAATAATAAATGCAAAAGAATATGGTACCTCCCCCTCTTCTTCTCTCCCCCCCCCCCCCCCCCAAATGAGGACAGAACTGTTAAGAAGCATGTTTTAAAGCTAAACTATAGGGATAGATAAAAAGTGACAGAGTTCTGTGGCACCTTATAGACTAACAGACGTATTAGAGCATAAGCTTTCGTGGGTGAATACCCACTTCGTCAGACACGTGATAGAAAAGACTGTTTGGGCACTTGGTCCTCTGTAGATAGGAGGCCTAAGGTATTAGTATGGAGAAAAGACAGGTATTTTCTCATCAGACTGACTAGAGAATTAGTGAAATAACTTACAAGTGAAAGTTGAGCTAGAGAAGTTCTTTCCAGATTGAAGTTAAAATGAAAACCAATGACTCCTGTGGAACAATGACAACTCTGTCCAACATCTTCACCTTAAATCAATGTGCGAACTCAAGGTACGCATCCTCAACATGACCAAATATTCTCTAGCAAAATCAGGGGGAAACTGACTTGACAGACTGTAAATTAGATACTTCATGCCTCTCCTTTGTCAATCACAAAGCAAAAATCCCTTCTAGTTAGCCTGTAAGCAGTTATGTGAGTAAACGTAAGATCACTAGGAGGCCAGATTGATTAAGAAAAATTGTTAGTGTACATGGGAACATTCCTTCCTCCCCCCCCCCCCCGTTCCTGGGCTTTAAACTGTTATGCCTATCATGATACTTCACTGTCTAGTGAGACTTAACTAATCTCTATTTCTGCTCACTGAGGGTGAAGTTCATGGCAAATATAAAATTTACAATGATAGGAAAACCTACAGCCTTTCAACATAAGAACAGCCATACTGGGTTAGACCAAAGGTGCATCTAGCCCAGTATCCTGTCTTCCAACAGTGGCCAATGCAAGGGGCTTCAGAGGGAATGAACAGAACCAGTAATCAAGGACCACATTTCCCTGTTCCCAGAACTAGTGGATCAGATCATATTGACTACTCCTAAATATTAGTTTTTTTGGGGGCAGAGAATGAACATGAGTAACTTCAGGTCAATAGGTAACTTTTTTTTTTTTTTTGAGACCATGAATATGTGTGGATGATTCTAATAGTAATTCATTTTGTAGTAGCTGAACAGGGAAGTCTGCAAACAAGATTTCTCAAGTTCCTAAGGAGTTCGCAGTTCTCAAACTGTGTCGCAAGTGCTAATTACATCTTTTAAAAGCCAAGTGCTTTCCCTTTTGATTTTGCAAACCATTTAGATCTCAAATGAGGAAGACATTAGCTCAAAGGGGTTTAAAAACCTTGATAATCTGAGATGCTAAAATGAAGATGCCATTTCAGCTCTCCAGACAAACATGTACTGGGATAGTAATTGGAATGCTATCATTGGCATTAACCCTCAAAAGTCATAAGATTGCCCACACTAATTAGTCAGCTAACATATACTGGAAGACTTCTTTTCAAAAAAGAACCAGGTAGATCTAAATTGATGATGTATTATTTTGGCCATCCCTTAGTTGTGTAAAGATAACTAAATTACCCCACACAACTTGTGGCTATCAAACTAGTTAAACTTCTGAAAAAATGCCATCTAAGAGGATAAACACTATTTAGCAAGCATCGTAGAATGAAAACAATCTAGCCCCTTAATCCAGACTTTAGCTCCTAAAGAGCTGACAGTATTCCAAATGTATATTGGAGGAGAACTCCTGAAAATATCTTCCCCTGTTTTTTCTTCTGTAAAATAAGGGGATTAGATAGCTGACTTCTTACTTAAACGTCTTAGGTGGTAACAACTGTTACTTATGTTTTGACGTGAAATTGAGTTGGTCAGTCATTTGCTAGCAATATGTCAATATTGTCGACCCACATCCAATGGAGAGCTTTCCATGTGCTACTGGCAGGATGAGGTTTTTAAGCTTTTTTGGGGAAGTTCAGATTTACTATGGAGGCGGGTTAAAACCTTGGCTTCAGGAGTAACTTAACTTGCACTAGCTGTCGGGGAAGAGGATTCTGAATAGCAGTGACTTCCAGTCTCCTGAAAATGTGGCACCACAAAAATCCACCTGTGCCTGTGAGTGGTGCAGAGGTTGAGGACTAAATGCATATGGAAGCCTATCTACAGTCTTGACCTGGGTGGTCTCGAGCTCAAAATTGAGGCCTGCGGTGACGTGAAGAGGATTGTGCTGCTTATGTTGACCCTATTCCTCAAATATATAGATGTTGCTGACAATCTGGGATATTTCATTAGCACTGAATTCACATAAACTGTTTATGGATAGATAATTCAGATGACTCTCTTCCAGTCATCTTGTAATTAGGGCTGTCAATCACCATTTACACATGCGATTAACACAGCACAATTAGTATATTAATTTTTTTAATGTGCGTTAATTGCAGACCCTCTAGGTGGGAGGGCAGCATCAGCTGCTGCAGAGAACCTATGTCCGGTCAGGTGCAGTAACACAAGCAGTCACCAGAGGGTGGGAAGAGAAGAGGCTAGAGAAAGATATGGTTCTCATCCTGGCTCCAGCGGAGAAGTAGAGATCTTGACCCTTCCTCCTCTTCCTCCCCACCCCCAGGTGACCATATTTCTTAAAGTAAAAATGGGATGGCCAGGGGCTTGCCCGAGCTGCCCCCCCCTCGCAGAGAGTTTGCCCAAGCTGCTCACCCACCCACAGGGCTGAGCCCTGTGCTGCCCACAGCCCACCAGCAGCAAATTTCTCCGCTTTCCTGTTGGCAGGCAGTGCTGCCTTCAGCTGACCCCTGGGCAGCAGCCACATTTCTCTGCTTGGCCTTGCAGCCAGGACACGTGTGTGTGTGTGTGTGTGTGTGTTTATTAATAATAATAATAATAATAATAATAATAATAATAATTAATAAAAAAGTGGGGATGGCCTGGACAAAGCTGAAAAAGGGGACTGTACTGGCCAAAACGGGATGTATTGTTGCCCTGTCCAGCCCGTCACTCCCAGGACCAACCCTTCTGCATCATGTCCCATTCCCCCTAGCCAGCCGCTCGCTCTGGGGATACCCCATAGAGAACATGGTCCTGGCGAGCTCAACCTCTCCTCCTCTGCAGTATGAGTCCCTGAGGTAAAGTCCACCTTCCCTTGCAAACAAGGGCTCACTCAGCTGAAGGGAGTCCAGCTCGCCTCCTTTAACTGAGCTAGCCCAGTACCAGAAACCACCCTTCCAGAAGCAGCAGCAAGACATTGCCCTCATCCTTCTCTTGCACAAGTTATTGCTTGCTCCTCCCTGTTGTCACCCCCTGTCCTCCCAGGCCCTCCTCCTGTACAAGTCATTGCTTACTTCACCCCTCCAGCACTGAATGCTTGTTTGTTTGAGTGATTGGCTGAACAAGAAGTAGGACTGAGTGGACTTGTAGGCTTTAAAGCTTTACATTGTTTTATTAAGTGCAGTTATTTTTTACACTTGTAAGTTCAACTTTCATGATTGCACTACAGTACTTCAATGAGGTGAATTGAAGCTTTTTACAGTGCAATTGTTTGTAATAAAAATACTGTTGTAATTGAAATTAATATATTTAAAAATGTAGAAAAAAATCCAAAAATATGTAAATGGTATTCTATAGTTTAACAGCGCAATTAATCGTGATTAATTTTTTTAATCACTTGACAGCCCAACTTGTTATATACTGGTGTCCCAATTCTAAATTCTCAAATTGGAGTCTCTCTACTTGGTTTTATTTTTTGTTTCATATCTTTCCTCTTATCTTTGCACTTGTTCTGAAGTAGTTGCAGTTAAATACTGAAGTATAGGAAGAGCTACACTATTCCCAGCTGTCATTAAGATTTAATACAATTAATACTAAACACATGGAAGCCAGACAAGTCTGTTAGGATTCTGCAAGCTATTTTGGCTGTGACCATGTATCTACTCCTGGCCCTCCAATAGGGTGTCTGAAAGCATTAAGTACAGAAATTTCTTACAGCCATAAAATGGCAACATATTGTATATGTGCCTCAGTCACCCTTTGGAGAAAAGAATACTACAAAAATCTTGGCTCCAGCAAGCTGTTAGAAACATTACTCAGTTGCTTGCATCCCTTCAGGAATAAGGTTTTCAAGCAGTCTTGGCTCAAGAGCAAGTAGTTAGCATACTGTTGGGGATCTTGTAAAAATGGTCATGTTACCCTCTCTCATCTTCCTACAGTGGCAAAAGGTATTTCAGGTTTGTTTCTGGAGAGTGCCTTGTAACAGTTGTATGGATGAAAACACTGGGATCTGTTTTCTGGAAAATAGATTAGGCACACTGGCTCATCACAGAAGGGTCTGTCTTTGACTCTTTGAGGTATAAGGCATACCTAGGGAGGTGGTGGAACCTCCATCCTTAGAGGTTTTTAAGGCTCGGCTTGACTAATCCCTGGCTGAGATGATTTAGTTGCTGTTGGTCCTGCTTTGAGCAGGGGGTTGGACTAGATGACCTCCTGAGGTCTCTTCCTACCCTAATCTTCTATAATTCTATGTCTTATTTTCTTGTGACATACACTCCAGGCTTACCTGGTGTGGTGTGTGGGTTTTTTTTCCCTCTCCCCCGCCCCCTTATTTTTCCTCCCCCCAAATAGAAAGCCAATGCTCTTCTGCTGTAATATCCTTATTTGCTGTCCACATACTACTGTGCTTGCATTACAAGCTCTCTGGGGGTAGGAACTGTTTTACTTACACAGCTCCTAACTCAAGGGATTTCCTGACTCTGGTAATACAAATTAATAAGTGAGGATAAATGGTTTAGCAAGAATTACTTGCCTAACGAGCAGTAACAAACTGCTGGTAGATAACATATTAAGGCTGGAATCCATTAGCTTTATACTTCAGTGCTGTGTCCACCAAGGCTGAAGCCAAAAACTTGTTAATCAGACTACTACTATGAAACCTACATTTAGTGGTGATCACAGTACATGCCAGTACTTAAAACATGTTTTGGTCTGAAAATGACTGAGGCCCAGGGCTTGTCTTGCGACTTTTTCCATATCAAATACACTCAATTGGTTTCTCAAGACCATCAGAACAGCAAATTCAACTGTGGGCTCTGGACCAGATGGCTCTCCTTGCACATCAGTAAGCAAGGTTCTGCAGGATAAATGTTAAGAGTTACAAATGGCAATCTCACTGAAAGCTGTACTGGTAGAATTGTCTAGAGTTTTAATGACATACAATGAGAATAGAATCCATCTATCTTCGTTTTGAATGGCCAACATAGCAACTAAGTATAAAATTCCTTATTTGTCTGCAGAGATGTATTCAAAAACCTGTAAACCTGGTGTCTATTTAACAAGGTCTTCTTTCCCAAGCCCCAGTTAAGAAGGCCAAAGGATAGAGAGTGCTGTTTTCTGATCCCACCTTAGTGCTAGGTGCTACCTGTATTTTCTTTGAGAACTTGACTGGTAGGCTAAAGGATGATAGGCAGTACTTTCCCCTGGCTACAGCAGGGGTCTGGCAATGGAGATTCAAGGATTTCTGCTTTCTTTTCTATCCATCCTACATGTGTAAGAAACAGCCTTCCAAACTAAGGACACTGACTTCAATGCTGATGTCAAACTAGGAGGCCCTTATATAAGTGCCAAAACAATTGCCTTAAGGATTTCAGTACTCCTTAGTACACAAACTCTGGCATTGTAGTGTTTGCCACAAGAACAAATCTTGTGGTCTCCATGGAGACCACAATACATCTACCATCTTTTCTTAGCGAATAAAGTACTCTACTAATCTTTCTCTCACAGGTTTGCTGAGCTCAGACACAGTACCTGAGGTAGGAGAGGATGCTGCTGCTACTGTTAATCTGACAGAAAATCTTTCTGAAGAAGAACAGGAGGAACTAAGAAAAGAACTTGCTAAGGTAAAGAACAATCTTCATGCAGGTGGCTCTCACTCTGAACGAAATCTTTCAGAAACCAGTAAGTTCAAAGTTTTGAATAAGATCCTTCTCTGAACTGGCTGTCAGAATAGAAGTCTGGAAAGCACTGACCAAAATGGTCAACTTCGGGTCCCCAACTTTAGGCATTTAATCTACCTTGATTTTAATTCAAAACTGGTACTCTCAAATCTCACTAAAGTCAGCTAAAGCTACCAGTGCTCAGCATTACATAACTAGTCATTTTCAGTATATGCCGAAATCTAGCTTTAAGTGTCTGTCTTTAGGTGCCCAGGCTTGAACACCTTGTCCACTTCCCTTCACGCTTCGACTTTAGAATCCACTAGTAAAACACCCACTCTGCTAATGGTTTTTATTTTTTGTAGTGTTATTGATGTGCACACTTATTGCTAATGGTTAACAAGGAAATTAATCTTGTCCTTAATTCATACCAGCAGTAAACATTAAACAAAGACCGTATCAATGAGCCAAAATGAACTAGGCTCCTAAAGCCTTTACTTCTAAAGCTGTTGAGCACTCTCTAGTTTCAGTGAAACCTGAAAAAAATCAGGCTACTTAAATAAGACTTTACTCCTGGGGGAATTCTGCACCACTGCATGTGCACAGAATTCATTTCCCCCACAGATTTCTTTGCTTCCCTGCAGAAAAATGACTTTCTGATGGGGAAGGTGCAAGAGCAGTCACGCACCACTCCCTATCAACACAGGAACAACGTTTCAGGCACCCAGAGCAGCTCACAGAGGTAAATCACTGTGGGGCTGGACACACCCCAGCCAGTGGCGCCTACCCTGAGCTGGGATGAGCTGCTAGTCCCGGCTGGGCTGGAGGCAGAAGAGGATGGGACTTCCTCTTTCCCCTGAAAGGAGTGGCTGGGGCTGTCAGACCCACCCCCAAAACCTCCCTCCGCTGCAGGAAGCTCAGCATACTCCCCTGCTTCCTGCCCCCATCACTCCTCAGCTGTGGGGCGGAAGTGTCACTGTACAGGGAGCTGCTCCCCCATCCTCACAACCCCTGTGCATCTGGACCTCCTGTACTTAGACATCCCTGCCAAGCCTCACCCCATACACCCAGAACCCCCCCAGCCTGCCATCCCTGAAGCTCACTCCACTGAACCTCAACCCCTACAACTGGAGCTCTCTGCACCCAGACACCCACGCCAGTGACTTCCCCCAACTAGCTGCATCCAAACCCCATCCCACTAAGCCCCACTCCCCTAGCACCCAGTCCCCTGCTGAGACCCCCCCCACACACAAAGATCCCTCCGCTGAGCCCCAACCACCTTCACCTGGAAGCCCCTGCAGAGTCACATTGCACCTGGACCCCCCCCATGAGCCTGTGCACCCAGATCCCCCACACCTAGACCCCCTACTGAGCTGCCTGCACCCAGATTGTCCCACACAGAATCCTCTAACCCCACACAGCCCCTCGGATCCTGCCTGGTTGAGCCTGCCTGCCCCACGCCTGGTGCATCTGGCAGACAGGGAGAGGGCCCCAGGGTGTTTCTGGGCTAGGCCTTGTGTGGTGTCAGGGTCGGGTGCAGCCTCACCACTGATTCCGTGTCCTGGGGTTGGAGAGGCTGCAGGGTGATCTCCCACCTTTTGTGCAGCCAGTGGCCTGTGCTCCCCATTGCCATGCTGGAGCCTCCACATTTATTTATTGACAAGTAAAACGTGCAGAATTTTACAATATTGCATGCAGAATTTTTAGGTGCAGAATGCCCTCAGGAGTAAAGACTGCTAGAGCCTCCATATAGTTTAACTTCAGACCCTTAAGTTCGAACATCTGCCTAAATGCTTGTTTCACATATCCTAGAGTTGATGAATAAAGCTCGCATTCCCCAGCTAGTCATTTCTCTAGCCTCTGCTGGCCTGTTCGGGAGTGGTGTTCCAATATAGGCATATTGGTTGAGCACCTTTCCTCTGAAGATAGGGTCTCCATAGGGTGCTTCATGTTGGATGCTCAAACCTTGGCATTTGGCTTTTAAGAAATGTAATACTGTCAGTCTATTCTTCTCAAGAACCTTTAGTCTCCAGGGCAGCTACCCTGCATTTTTACAAGAGCACAAATCTTATGCACAGAACAGGTACAGTGCAGGCTTCACTAGTCCCTATAACCACATCTTAACAGTCCTTTCATGTCCGGATTGAGGCATGAAAGTGTATGGTAGTTCCCTTAACGAGACAATCCTTGATCTCCAAACTGGCTAAAAGAACTGTCTTGTAGACAATTATTTACTATTAATCTGAATGAGTAGATTAATAGGCTATAGGGCCTCATTTATCTCCTAAATCATCCAGTCCTTCAGAAATGCTCAAATAACTGGAGAAGATGAGAACCTTTTTTTGCACTGGTCTCTTCCTAATGTCTGCAGTCATTTTAATAAAAAAAAAAAAAAAAAAAACCTTTTGCATCAATCCCTTTCTAAAACACAAGAAGAAATGTTATAACATAGCATCCATTGTAAATTACTTCATCATGCTAAATGTTCTTCAGTTAATAACTTCCTAAATGAAGTATTGCTAACTGGTTACGTCACTTGCTAACTGATCTTCCTCCTTGAACTGCCCTAGGTAGAAGAGGAAATCCAGACGCTCTCACAGGTGCTAGCTGCCAAGGAGAAGCATCTAGCAGAGATCAAGAGAAAATTAGGAATCAATTCACTGCAGGAACTGAGGCAGAACATTACCAAAGGCTGGCAAGATGTGACTTCTACTTCAGCGTATGTCCCTGTCACTGGTTCAGTGTATCATGAATCTGTGTTGGTTAAGTGAAAACTGTTCCTGTGCTGTTAAACTTTGTAACATATTTACTAGTCAAACTTTCTTTACTTTCAAATGTCTGAAGAAACTGTAGCAGCCTTCTTGAGGGTATCAAGTTTAAGGTAAAACTACGCTTCATTAAAATCTAGCTAAGTCCCTGTCCCAAAGAGACTTCTAACAACCCTGTCTTTACAATGCCATGATTCCTATTCTGCATAAACGAAAAAGCAATTCTGTTTTGCCAGCACATCGCCTCACCAAGATGGTGCAAATCAAATGCAATATCCTTCTCTCTTTAATTGGCAAACTATTATAAATCTTTCCCTGATGTAGGAAGAGAAATGCACAATACTACAATGGGCACTTGAACCTGGGATTTTATCCAAACAAAATTCCAAAGATTGTCATTTTTAACATCACTCAACTGGTGGATATCTGAAATCTGCAATAACTGTATGCATGAAGTAAAAAGTTTATACGGAAAGGTTTCATAACCTTGAGATTCAGCACAAAGCCTTTACTCTTACTTAATCATCTCTTCAAGCAGTTTTTCACTAGAACCGCACAAAATTTAGCAATCTTGGTTTCAGCCTGCAGCTTAAATCACTTCTCCAGTGGCCGCAGAGCATGTTGCTTGGCTTCATGTAGAAAACAAATTGATTTCTAGGTGAGCCTGCACTGAAACTTGTTGATGACAGTGACTTAAGTATTAAGGCTAAAGGGACCATTATTATCTAGTCTGACCACCTGCAGAATTGGCTGTAGAATTTCAGTGTCTTGTGATTGGGGCATATTTTGGATATCCATCTTGATTCAAAGACTTAATTTTCATGTGGGATTTTTAGATTTTGTATCAAAATGTTGCACAACTTGTAACTGTCTGTAGACTTACTAATAGAATCCTATTTACCTCTGGCTGTTTGAATATAGATATAAGAAGACATCAGAAACCCTGTCTCAGGCTGGGCAGAAGGCTTCTGCTGCTTTTTCATCAGTTGGCTCAGTCATCACAAAGAAGCTGGAAGATGTGAAGTATGTTTCATTAATCTTTTACTGAAGTTCAGTGTCTGGGGGAGGGAGAGCGCATTATTAATTTGACTTCTGATCAGTGACTAAAGGCACAGACTAGTATACCAAGAACCTGCAGAGCATCTGCTGCTGACTTGACCTGGGTGAGAGAGTGGCTGCTTGTGGAATGCATTCCTAAAATCATTATATGCAATTCTATTCATATCAGAGGTTTATGTACACAAAATAGTTTACTATTAAAATTTTTTACTTCTAATGTCACTCAATTCTCTTTAGAAGGATTTTACACAGTAAGTATTTTCATCAGTACTCCTGTGGTGTCATTGCTCCTGGGTTTTTTTTGCTATCTCAGCCTATGGAAGCACATTACATTATCTCATGACCGTCTAAAGCTTTTGCATCAAAATCCATTTTGTATGGATAGCTTTTGGTGTTTTGTTTGCTTTCCTTAAGTCATGTTTTGTAAGCTATTCGTAACTTCATTCCAAGAGCCTGATTTTATTACCTTTTTATGAACTATTGCCAGTGTGCCAGGTTAAAAGCTGGTAACTGCCAAACTGAAAATCTGTTGCTGTCTTCTGCCAAAACTGCACATCCATTATATTGTATCTTTCATGCACACTAATACCAAAGACAATTTAAAACTATCCTCTGTTTTGACCAGCATGAAAGATTCTCTTTTTTCCCGACTCCATTAACATCTGCAGGCTTGTACAATCCATACAATTGCACTGCTTTCACTACAGGAATTTGCAAAATTCTTGTTTATCTTGCCTCTGTCTTGCTGTAGCTTGTCTTGCATTAGTGGACCAAATTATTTGCCTGTTAATTGGCCCATAGAAATGTAATCCATTTACAATTTTAACTGCATTGGAAAACAGTGTAATAAAGTCAGCCCTGCATTTCAAGTGCTGCCATTTACCTCTCAAGCACTCATTTTATAGAAGCAAGAGAAGTAGCCACATGAGATTAATTTTACTACAGATTTATCAGAACTTCCTTTCTTTTTTTTTAATGCTTACTCTGGCATCCTGCAGATTGCAGGCATTTTCACATTCCTTTAGGTAAGGTGGGCTTTAGAATTGTTAATACAACCTTAGCACATAATTGGTTAGACAGTTCCACATCAATTTTTAAAATTGGTTTATCTAGACAACACTTGCGTCCCTTATAGTAACTACACAGAATAAAAATGACCTAGTCTTTAATGTCAGGGGTTGGATTTCATCATTTTGGGTAGTTCCTAAATGAACAAGAAATCCAGATATACAGTAAGACTGTAATACTTTTTTAAAAGTAAAAGAAAGGAAGCTGTTGAGAGGTGGGAGGGGGAACAGTTGTGGAAGCATGTTGTAAGGAGACATGAAAAGGCTTTGAGGTCAATGGCATGCAGAATTCCTTCCTCCAATGTCTGACTAAAAGTTCTGGTCCCCTGTTTGTACCATGTATGTTTGTTCAGCAGTGCACTGATAGAGTAGCAGTTGTCCTTTCAGTGTCTCTCATCACAGTAGCTGTTCAGTAATTACACTGCTGTCACAATACTTGAGGCTAAATACATTTCCGTACTGATGTCTGTAATCTACCTAACTACACTATTTCTCACCCTTTGTATGTACTATTTTTGGAGTCCTAGGCAAACTTAATATTTAACTTGCAAATAAGACTCAGATTTATAAGCAACTGAAAAGGCATGCTACTAAATTTAATGTTTGTTAGTATACAGACTTTGGTGGATCATCTTGGTCTGACTAACTGTAGTGTATAAGGGGTAATAAGTATTGATGGAATTGACAATATAGCTGCATAAACAATATTCGCACAATACCACATAAAGGGTTGTGTATTAAAAAGGTAGTTTGGGGTAACATGCATGAGAAACTATAATACTTCTAAATGTATAATAATTCAAGTATCTTAACAGTGTATAACAGACATGGTATAAATATTCTAAATTTGATTCCGGTGTTCTGCAAAATAATATTCCTGTCTTCAATGTTTTATCCCTACCAGTGCCTCTTGGCTCCAGTGGCTACCTGCTAGAGCAGGGGTAGGCAAACTTTTCGGCCTGAGGGCCACATCTGGGTATGAAAATTGTATGGCTGGCCATGAATGCTCACGAAATTGGGGTTGGGATGCGGGAGGGGATGCAAGCTCCAGGGTAGGGCCAGAAATGAGGAGTTCAGGGTGCAGGATGGGGCTCCATGCTGGGGTGGGGTGGGGGATGAGGGGCTTGGGGTGCAGGAGGATACTCTGGCTAGGACTGAGGGGTTCAGAGGTTGGGGCAGGGGGTTGGGATGTAGGGGTGGTCGTTCAGGGGTGCAGGCTCTGGGCAGTGCTTACCTCAAACGGCTTCCAGAAGCAGTGGCATGTCCCACCTCTGCCTCCTATGTAGAGGCACAGCCAGGCGGCTCTGCTGCACACTGCCCCATCCACAAGTGCTACCCCTGCAGCTCCCATTAGCCACGATTACCGGCCAATGGGAGCTGCAGAGGCAGCGTGTGGAGCGGAGGCCCCTAGCTGCCCCTACGTGTAGGAACTGGAAGGGGGACATGCCGCTGCTTCCGGGAGCCGTGCGGGTCAAGCCCCATACCCCGCTCCCCGGCTGGAGTGTCAGAGTGGGATAAGCACCAGACCCCACTCCTTAGCTGGAGCTTGAGGGCCGGATTAAAATGGCTGGCAGGCCGGATGCGGCCTGTAGGCTGTAGTTTGCCCACCCCTGTGCTAGAGAGATGTATTTAATAGAGAATCTGTTTTAAAGCTAAATGCACTGTTCCTAAGGACCTCTTCCCACTCTCTTGGTCGCTGAAACCTGATCTCGCCTTTGACATGGCACCTTCAGACACTTATATGTGTGTTTTCTATTCTCGCTTACTGGTTCAAGTCCTCCTCAAGAGGACATAGTAGATCTGGTAGGTTTCCTTCCTCTTTCTTCCTTCCCACTTCCTGGATACTACAGTGCAAATAAGTGATGGTCACATAAATACCACCCAATACTGACGCTATATTTGCCTACATGGCTCCAGCTTCCATCCAGGACACATCACACAATCCATTGTCTACAGCCAAGCCCTAAGATAGAGACAAACACCTACAGGATCTCTATCAAGCGTTCTTAAAACTACAGTACCCACCTGGGGAAGTGAGAAAACAGATTGACAGAGCAAGATGGGTACCCAGAAGTCACCTACTACAGGACAGGCCCAACAAGGAAAATAACAGAACACCACTGGCCATCACGTACAGCCCCCAGCTAAAACTTCTCCAGTGCATCAATGACCTACAACCTATCCTAGAAAACGATCCCCCACACTCACTGGCCTTGGGAGGCAGGCCAATCCTTGCTTACAGACCATCCCCCAACCTGAAGCGCATACTCACCAGCAACTACACACCACACCACAGAAACACTAACCCAGGAACCAATCCCTGTAACAAACCCCATTGCCTTCTCTGTCACCATATCTACTCTCGCGACACCATCATAAGACCTAGCCACACCATCAGAAGCTCATTCACTTGCACATCTACTAATGATATATGCCATCATGTGCCAGTAATGCCCCTCTGCCATGTACATTGGCCAAAGCAGACAGTCTCTGTGTAAAAGGATAAATGGACACAAATTAGCCATCAGGAATGGTAACATACAAACCGGTTCTGGGACAACCGGTTCTAAAAGGGCTTTTAAATTTAACAAAAGCTTTGGCAGCTGTCCACCCCGGCCCTCCCCTGCTTCCTGCGAATCAGATGTTCACGGGAAGCCCGAAACAAGCAGCAGTCAGGTAAAGTGGGGCGGGGACGCACGAGGAGGGCTCCAGGAAGGCACGGTGCGGCCCACTCCGGCTCCGGTCGAGCGGCTCCCTCCGGCCTGGCCCCGCCGAATCTCTCCCGTCTCCCATGATTTACCAAAGATAATAGCTACAGGCTCAGATACCTCCTCTATTAGCTCCTTGAGTATTCTAGAATGCATTTCATCAGGCCCTGGTGACTTGCAGGCGTCTAACTTTTCTAAGTGATTTTTAACTTTTTCTTTTTTTATTTTATCTTCTAAACCTACCCCCTTCCCATTAGCATTCACTATGTTAGGCATTCCTTCAGACTTTTTGGTGAAGACTGAAACAAAGGTCATTAAGCATCTCTGCCATTTCCAAGTTTCCTGTTACTGTTTCTCCCTCCTCACTGAGCAGTGGGCCTACCCTGTCCTTGGTCTTCCTCTTGCTTCTAATGTATTGATAAAAAGTAGTCTTGTTTCCCTTTATTCCTGTAGCTAGTTTGAGCTCATTTTGTGCCTTTGCCTTTCTAATCTTGCCCCTGCATTCCTGTGTGTGCCTATATTTGTCCTAGTTTCCATTTTTTTATGACTCCTTTTTTTTTATTTTTTAGATCATGCAAGATCTTGTGGTTAAGCCAAGGTGGTCTTTTGCCACATTTTCTATCTTTCCTACCCAGTGGAATAGCTTGCTTTTGGGCCCTTAATTGTGTCCCTTTGGAAAAACTGCCAACTCTCCTCAATTGTTTTTCCCCTCAGTCTTGATTCCCATGGGACCTTACCTATCAGCTCTCTGAGCTCACCAAAATCCACCTTCCTGAAATCCATTGTCTCTATTTTGCTGTACTCCCTTCTACCCTTCCTTAGAATTGTGAACTCTGATTTCATGATCGCTTTCACCCAAGCTGCCTTCCACTTTCAAATTCTCAATGAGTTCCTCCCTATTTGTTAAAATCAAATCTAGAACAGCTTCCCCCCCAGTAGCTTTTTCAACCTTCTGAAATAAAAAGTTGTCTGCAATGCAGTCCAAGAACTTATTGGGTAGTCTGTATCTGGATAGTTGAAGTCCCCCATCACCACCAAATCTTGGGCTTTGGATGATTTTGTTAGTTGTTTAAAAAAAGCCTCATCCACCTCTTTTACCTGGTTAGGTGGCCTGTAGTAGACTCCTAGCGTGACGACATCCCTGTTTTTTACCCTTTTTAGCCTAACCCAGAGACTTTCAACACTTCTG